TGTTTTATTATAATATCTTTTCAAATTAGGTAATGTTGGAATTTTGTGAATAATAATATATACGAGAGATCTTTATGCCAAAGAGTTGTTATAGGATAATATTTGCTAATGACATATGGTTATTAGGTCACACCATATAACAAGTTACTATTAATTGATTAGTTATTATAGTAATTTGATTATTAATAAATATTATCAACACTTATATTTAATTGGAAAAACATTATTTTACGAAAATATATTTACCAACATATTGGAAATTATTATTTCTAGAAAATGATAATAAAAGAAAAAGAAACCTATTTATATTCACAGGGTATGAATATATAAGTCGTGTACAAACTAAAGGGTAATTTGAGTAACCATTTAATTGTCATGTACTTAGTAATTAGAAGCATAAGTAAAACACACATCTTGGCCCCACTTGGCATGTGAATTGTCGTGAACCTCCTAAGGAGGTTGATCTTTGAGTGTTTGACTTATTTTGCTTCCATACCTTCGTTATAAGACCTTACTATTGCATTTAATGATGATATGGAGCATGTGTCTTATTTGTGAGCATATAAGCAAGAGTATAATGCAACAACTAGGCTAGTTTTACTTTATTACTCTTCTTCTTTTCTCTCCATAAAACCGTGAGCTTCAAGCTTACATTCCTTCTCAGTCTTCTTATAATTTGGTGCTTAAATTAAGAGTTCATAAGTTGGTTCCCCATAAGGCTTATTTGGTGTAAGTGTTAATGGCTTAAGAAAAACTTGATACAAGTGAAGACTAGCATATTGAAGTGGTTTACTCTTGCTTAGTGGATACTTCTAGAGAAACTCTAGTTTGAATCTTTTGTCATCTTTATCAACTCCCAATCTTCCGAAAAGAATCAAAATCTTCAAAGGTTGTAACTCTTTATTTATATGATTGTATTAATCTTTTCATGATTTGAAAAATGATACTTGGTGGGTTATTATTTTTTTTTTAAGTTTATTATATTTTTACAACTTCCGTTTTCGTTTTTAGCGTTTTTGAAAAAACAATTTTGAGTAAACCTGTAACGCTCGTTTTCTATGCTAAGAATTAATGTGATGATGTAATAGTTAGGGTCAACCATTGTAACCCACTTTGAAGTAATAAAGAGGAATTACTTGAATATTATGTGAATTATGTGATTTTATGTGCATTATACTTATTTATAAAATATAATAGATTAAGAGTGAAAATAAACGTCAAAAATAAAAATGTATATAAACCCAATATCTATGAATAACAGCAGTAGTGTCCATGACAAGGATTCCGGAAATATAAAGAACGTCGAAATCCGAGTTATAATGAAGAAGTTATGACATGTCGAAGTTTTACGGCAAAACCGATACGGCACCGGGAATCGTAAAAAGTGAATTTCTAATAAAATACATTTTAGCCTTATATATCTCAATGAAAGTTGTAGTATACGTTAAACCGAGAGTGTGAAAAAAAAAGAACGTCAAAATCTGACTTCGTATTGGAAGTTATGATTTTTCTAAGATTTCACATAGCAGTATACAACCCGAAATTTGAATTTCTGATCGAGCGATTTTTAGCCGACACAACCTAAATGAGAATTGAATATCTCATTAATAGGAGCTCAATGATAGAAAGACAGTCAAAAACGGAGTCCGTATGTAGAAGTTATGAATTTTACACGGTCGTTAACAGTGTAATATTCTCATACTGTTAAATTTATAATCAGTCAAGAATTAGCCGATGGAATCTAAATGAAAGTTATAGATTATGTCTCCACATATGCCTGGATATAAAGAAAATAGAAAACAGAGCTCGTATGCGAAAGTTACTGGGTTTAGAAGTCGGCAGGGTGCTACTGCGAAGGGGGTGACGTGGCTGAATCTAGGCCATTGCTTTCTCCCCAAGTCTTGCCACCAGATGATGACATGTGGCACCAAGTTGAGCCATATTTCAACCTACAAATAGAACCCCTTCCACCCTCATTTCTTCACACTTCCACCTTTCTCTTTCTCTCTCTAACTTCTCTCTAAACCTCCCCCCCCCCCCTTAAAGCCCTAGGAAATTCCCCTAACGCTAGAAGAAAGCTCTGGAGTGCCCGAAGACTCCGACAAAAAGAGCTTTTCGGCTCAGAAATTTTGCTCCAGCAGAGCCCGGTTTTTAGCAAAACCCGCTGTAAGTGACATACGTCTTCCCTACTTTAAATATAGCTTATGTTTAAATATAATGTCGTTATTATGAACCTAAGAATAAGATTTATCAATGATTCAAATTCGTTATAATGATTAATCTACTTACGGTGATGATGTATAGGCTGTGATTTAGTGATGTGTTTAAAGTGGGATTTCCAAACAGTATATTTTGTATACCAAACGGACCCTACCTTCGATATGATCCTACCTGGTTGCTCCTTATTTGATAGATCTTGAAAGTAGACTTTGACTTAATGATGAATCTAGACTAATAATTAGTCGCAATAAAGATTAAACTAAAACTTAGCAATAATAATGCTAGGTTTCGTCGAAGGAAAATAGAATCGTTAGAAGCGAAGCACTGCCCGAGTTTGGAATCATCACTTTAACAAGTGAGTGCATAGTCGCTTTCATCTTACACATATATATGAAGTATTTTATATTAATTACGTGCTATGTATGCATATTATCTGCTTACTTGCCAACATGTTTGTACAAGTTTTAAATGATTTAAACTGTATATGTATTTTATATCTACAAAAATATTGGGGTAAAACATGTGTAGATGAAATAGACGATGTGCGATAAAATGATGAGAGGCCTCAATGTTGATGATGATACAGTCATCTAGCGGAGTATAGATGACGACCACAAACTATTTTAGACAGTCCAGTGGAACGCTAGCAGGCTCGCAACCTGTAGGTGTTTGTGAACGATGTGGTCACCGGTGTACTCCATCCCCCTCATGGTTGCCTTATGGATAATTATTGCCGAGGAACCCCCTTTGCAGTAGTGTCCATCCCGATGAAAATCCTTAGGATATGTCCCTTATGATAAATGTTTTAGGGACGTAAAGTGAGGATAACGAGAACGGGTAATCGGGTTGTTTGGTTTGATGAAATTAATAAACTTATTTATTGTAGGTTGAAAACCCTATTTACTCACCAGACTCCCAACTGTGACCCACTCAGTTTCTTGTATTATAGGTTGTGGCACAATAGCATAGTTGGATGACTTGATGATGGATTATGGATTATAGGCCAGTAGATATAAATAAATGTTGTAAGGCCTATGTTATTCTGTTTATGCTTTTGATCTGTATCGAACATGATATCCCGATGTTTTATTATAATGAAATGCATTTCTTCGAAAATGTTTTGATAAATCTTTATCATATTTATCTCGAAAATGTTTTGGAAACAAATTCCGCAATATATATTTTTTTTTAAATTACTCTGATTTTCAAAACAAAGCATAAACAAATCGGTATTTTCTGGCCGTGAAAATAGGGATGTCACAAAACCCAACAATGTATTTAGTGTTTTGGGGTATTTTGTCGCTATTAATTAATTTCATTCCATTCAATCATGTGTTCCCACATACCAAACAACATGAGCCCTTATTTTCAGAGTATACACTTTAGAGTTGGATAAACATCTTTTCGTTAAGTAAAAAATGAGTCAACATGGTTGAATGACTTCTCTTTATCACAATTTGAGATAGGGTTTCGAAGGCTCACAATAGGCTAATTTGGTGCAATTGTTGTGCACGGTTTCCTTGTGATCGATTAAGGATCGTCGGTGTTGATATTTGGTAGGCACGGTCAACTTTAATGTTGCTTCCACGAGAGCCCCGATAAAGGGAGAACATCTTAAAACGGCAACCAATAATACAAAATTTGCTCTTTAGGCCACTAAACTTTTAATTGTATCCAATAAGGAAACCGACTTTTATTTTGGTTTTAAAATACTAACAATTATGACTTTTATTGATTAAAATGACAACGAACACCATAATTGCCTTTACTACATCTAAACAAAAAGCTTTTTGTAATTTCTTTTAAAAATAACCGATAACCATTAACGACACCATATTATTTTGTGACTTTACCATTTTAATCAGTAAAAATCTATGTAGCTGAAGTCATGGTTTGAGAAAAATAACAACAATAGGCTATTAGTTAGGCATGGCAAGGGTAATGATGATGTTTGTTGTGATTTTAATCAATAAAAATTATAATCGTTGGTATTTTAAAACTAAAATAATAAGTTAGTTTCTTTATTGGTACAATTAAAAGTTTAATGACCTAAAAAACAAATATGGGATTATTGGTTGCCATTTTAAGTTATCTTCCCACATACTTTGCTCACTAGTTATGTTCCTACTAGGTGGAGCCGACTTCTTCCTATCAAGGTAAATATTATGACTTGTCTATTGGCGTTAAACAAACTTCCTACTAGACATACCCTTGCTAGTAGAGGTTTGGATATATGTCCTAATTTTTTGATGTTGACATTGAATCAATTAGCCATTTTTTTCTTGCCCTATTGCTCCTATGCTTTTCCAAATTGAGAGATGGTGGGGAGTGCCCATTCCAAAGATGCTTTCTTATGATGATCGGTTATGTTGGTTTTTTACTCTATAGTTACTAAAGATACGTAAAGACTATCTTGAGACATCATTTTGTTGTATGTGGTGGCATATTTAGGGGTTTAAAATTTATATTTTGTTTGGTACAAATAAGCTTAATAAGGCTGACTCAAACATTTTGTTGGGTTTCCCTCTTTGATTAATTGTTTTGTTTTGTCTAACTCCGTGCTAACTTAATAAATTTTAGTTGTTCTAAAAACACATATCAAAACCACATGGATTAATGACTATTCCATTCCAATTTCCAACATACTAACAAAACACGGCAAACAGGATATTAAAATGATGATGAATCGCTATGCCTTTGTTTCTTTCGTAACCACATGGGTTAATGACTATTCCATTCCAACATACATAAAACTTACAAAATTCTAAAAACCTTTGTTACACGAATTAAGATAAACTTGTATTTCACAACATAATTGATTCTATAAAAAAAACTTACAACGTAACTTTTTTGCTTGATAAAATGAAAACAAATGCTTCAACTGTTTCAAGAAATTCCTTACTAAAAAATTCGCTGGTTATTAATCGTTATGCCTTTGTTTCTTTCGTAACCCATATAAATGTAGTCTTTAAACATTTCGAGTGCAATTTTGCATTGCCTAATCTTGTGACCCATTCAACACACTCTATATCCAACTAAGCTAATATAACCATAATATTTTAACATATATACAAATCGACATAATCAAACAAATACATGTTACATAACCTAAACATAACTACATAAATCTATATGAAAAGGAGAAAAATAAAATGAGTGATGCAACAAATTATTATATATTAATAAAGTAGTTAGTTTAAGACTTAAGAGACATGTTTTTTTTTTAGTCTTCCGTTAACAACCTCAACTCTAAACTTAAGGCAACAGTGACAATAATCCCAAGAAATACTCCGTAAGTAACGTTCCATTCACTTCCCGCATGCGCCAAATAGATGCCATAGAAAACGTTGAATATTGCAAATAATATCAAAAGTCGTCCTACATTATGGTGATACCAATTCCAATATTTCCTCACCTTTGAATCTTTACTTGGTCTTATTAAAATAGCAATAACCTACAAAAATAAATATAAATATTTGACTTACTATTTTGTAAGTTGGACTCAACAATCTCAAATTAGACCGGACAAACTTTCTACAATTATTTTAGATTATAAGCATGAAAAAAATATTTTCAAGAGGTCCCACCTTTCTAGGTGAGACAAAAAAAAAATGTAATTTATATCTCATTCACCAGTTCAAAGTCCAATATCGAATACAGTACAATGACAGTCTGTTTCTGCCCAGTGTAACAAACATGTCATATGTCTTACGGCTCCGCTAGGACGCTTAGTTTTATGGCCAGTGGGAGGTCTTTTTATTTTATTTTAATTGATTGTTGTTCAAAAAAAAAATTCACGCGTATGTACAAAAGATTTAAATGCCCTTTTTATATCTTGTCTAGTTTTGTAATGTCCTTGTAACAAACACAGTCTAAAAGATCACTTATACGTATAGAAAAAAAAATGCACAAACCTGTAAACAACCAAGTGTAATAATGATTATGCCAATGGCTTTGTGTTTGGCAACGTTGATATCGATACGACCATTTAAAATAAGTCCTGTAATTATGCCTGCTAATCCAATAATAAACCCTGATAATTGGATGCTCGAATGTGCATAAAGCCATAATCGACCTACATGCCTCAAGTATCGAGCAATCATAACACCTATAGGGAGTAATACACCCCATCCAACCGCATTCAAAATCCCATGAATTCTTTTCAAATCGGAATATGGATAACTAACTTGACTACCTTCACCTGTAGATATTCAACTGATAATCAAATGTCATATTTCATTTAATTATTATAATAGCAAGGATTTGTGTTTTTTTAGAATGGAAAAGGTGATATTATTTAAAAATGTGACATGAGTCTTGTACTATTGTAACATTAGATAACTTCGAAAAGAAGTCTTTTAAAAATTAAAAGTTAATAAGACTCATACTTAAAATAGCATTAAAGGAATGTTAGGTTGAAAGTGGAGCAGGACCAAATGAAATCGGATCCTTTTGAGTCATCGATCAACAAGTCCACATAAAAAAAAACGATGTAAAACGAGTGGACCTAAAATATTAATTTATTTTTCAAGGACACTAGTAAACTTTTAGTTTTTTTTTTTTTTTAAATTTAAAAAATATTAAAACCAAGGATAATGGTTAATGTTTTTAAACTTATAAAATATTAGTGCCTAACACAGCCTATTCTTTAAAAATTGGTGATGCAATGTTCCATAATACATAACGCAATAAGAAATATAAAAAGTAAGGATTAGCTTAATAAAAAGATGAGAAACATTTGCAAGAAAAATTATTTTTAAACTAAAACAAATTCAATTGATTGAGTTAGTGATAAAGACTTTTGGGACACCGTTTATTAATCATATATAAACACTTTTATGTTTGCCAAACTTTTCATGTTCAAACCAAAAGAAAATTGATTGATTGAAATTGATGACAAGGATTATTGGGACACTAGTAAACTCTTAGAAGGAATAAATATTTGGTAGAAATAAATTTAATACAAAATGAGATAAAAGAGGGAACCCATTTGAACACTTGTGGTTTACAAAAAATAAAAAACACAAATGAATAAATGATTTTTATATGTTACAATTGTGGTCCTTAAGGATTGAAAATTTTACACTATAAGTCCTTGTGACCAACACTGTTAAAAAAAATACTATTAAATGTTTTTCAAATTTAAATTTAGGATTTAATTTTAGTAATAAAAAAGTAAAAAACCGACTTAAAGGAACTTGATTAATGATGATCCTCTTTGGTCAATTGTCTCATTATTTCTTTCGGATAACTTCATTATCCAGCAAAACTGCTCATTTTAGCCCCCACCATAGTCATACCATGTGTTAGTTACAACTTACAACACGACCTTTTGTGTTTGGATTAAATATAGATTTTGATTTTGATAAAATATCAACTTTAATGTATAAATTCTTAACAAATTTAATTGTTAAATAAATATATATAAAACTAAAAAAACTATCGTTAAATGACATGATAAAAGCATCAAACTTCCTTGCATAAGTTCATATACGATTAAGTTTAAATAATGTTGTGTTTGCTGTTTAATTGTTTATGGAAACTCATCTAATTTGTGTTTCTGAAATCGCAGCTATATGAATCGTGATTATTGATTAGAAAATAGAAACGGTTTTTTCATAGATCGCTAACCTGAGGCGTAATTGAAACCGACGGCGATCTGATTCCGATGAGCAGTCAACCGGAAGCTCGACTGAGTAGGAGCCTGGTTATTACGGCTGCCGACGGCGAACACCAGCCGCCGGCTTGGTGAATCTGTGATCAATTGAAACGCTAGATACATCTGAGACGAAAATGAAATGATCGAAGATGTGTTCGGCGGAAATTGTAGGTTTCCTTGATCCGCTAACACCTGGCTTGGCGTTTTTCCGCCGAGGTAATACCTTCTCATGGTGGCGGAGCTGTCGCCGGACACCCAACCGACGACGGCGCTGGAGCCAATCATTCCGCCGTTGGGCGAAAACCCCATCGCTACGTACGAGTTCGTGTTGGGTGCAGACAAAACGAAGCTCCATAAACTTGGCCCAGCTTGTGAGTACTGTAACAAGTGATTATTAAATTTGCTAATTCCAGAATATAAATAGTTAAATACAGATTTTAAATCATAAATTGCATTTTAGTGATTATTTATCTAGAAATATATTTAATATAACAACCTTAAATTTAAACCAACCTTTTTTACTTTTATATTTCTTATCAACTTTTTATGAAAAAAATAATAATAATATGCAATTTAGTGATTATTTGTGATGTCATGCAACCTTAGAAAAAATATAACTACTTTTTTCATATGATATCATTATTTTATAAAGAATTTAGTAATCATAATTGAAAGTATGCAATGACTATTTTCAACAAAAGTTGGAGAAATATAAAAGTTTGTTGGCTTTTAAACAAAATTTAAACTAAACTTTTGTATATTATGCTAAACTGATCGTAGTGATTTAAGTAAGTCTAACTAAAAATGATTATTCTTAATAATAAAACAAGAACCTACCCATTTATATGATCAAAACTCCATAAATATTATGGTTAATGATTAAAGCTTCATTAATGCAATTAATGAAAATTGAAAACCATTCAAGAACATATTTACTTGAAATGATAATGAAATGTACCCATAGAAAACACACACCACATATGCCATGGATATCAAAGATATGATATGTGTTGTTTATAAATTATGAAGAATATGTTGATTAAACATACACATATATACACATAATTTTTTGGACTTTTATAAAATAAAAAGATATATTAATGACAAGATTATGATGATATGACTTACTCTAAGAATGAAGCCTTCAGAAGACCAAACATTTGAGCAACTAAGAGAAGATACATCAAACAAGATTTGAGCATTGAGATTCTCAATACTTGAAGTTGTGCATGAGTCTTGAATGATTTGTGATTGAATTACATGTAAAGAAGCTAAAATCAACAAAAATCGAAGGTGTGAGGGTAGTTTCATGATGAGTGTTTTCTTCTTCATCATATATGTGTATATATGTCTCCTATCATGTACCTATATAAAGGGTATGAAGAAAGGGCAAAATGGTAAAATAGGTGGTGATGTATTTTCCACAAGCAATAGATGGAGATTGACTTGGTTCAACCTTTTGTGTATATAGCCCTCTTGCATTCAACCGTCAATAATCAATAATATAAATTTATAATCGAACATTGGAGCACAATAATCGGTTTGCAATATGTGACAAATTTGAGTGGGGTTTTAATTTGATAATATTTATAGCAAAAAACATTTTTATTTTGAAAAATAGGTAGAAGATTACTATAACTAAAAGGGATTTGACATCTCTTGGTAGGATAAAGATAGACAATGAGCAACGTTTTCCTTTTTGGTTTTTCCAAGTTGGTAACCCATTAAATCATCTCTTGTTTATTGCCTTTTTAGATATTAAATCGAAAATTAAATATTGTGATTAGTATATTCTTGTGGTTTATTTAGTTACAAAACTAATAAGATCTGTTACTAAACATTAACATATTTTTGTTTAGTTTAAATCAGTTTGATTGATGCAAATACGTAGGTTTGTGTTACGTTACCAGTGTATGCAATTTTGAGTTTCTATTTATCTGGTTATACAAATATAAAAATTAAAAGATAATGGGATATGAATTTATTTGTTTATTAACCATACGTATTTATCAATATTCTTTCGGATCGGCTATATATTACACATCAAAGTACACTATTCATAAGAAATATACATATTTCTGATTCAGATTCAGATTTCGGACTAAATATAATGGACAAAATGTTGGTGATTTTATATCATCAAATATTATTTAAGTGTAATAGGATTAAATTTGTTGACCAAAAGTGATCTTGTTGAATATTGAACAAGTTAGGATGGTGTAGGAGTGCACACTTGTTCAAGTTTTTCAAGATTTAAAGTACATTGCTATTTAGGGGCGAAACCCCTAAACGAACGGGGGTCCGGGGGCAGCGCTCCTAGCGGGGTCCAAGGGGCAGAGCCCCTGACTGGTAGTTTTATGACAATTTGTAACTGTCTGTTAACAGTTTTCAGACAGGATTGATATATCCGTTTTTTGGTCAATATTCTGGTACATGTTGAAGAACATTTTCATATACATTCTCTGAATTTCATCCAATTGAGTGTTCGATCTGTACCATCGAAATACTTCAATTTGATAGTGAATCACGACTTTCAGAGAATCCAAGTAATCTATTCATCCCTTTTTTCTAACACAAAATTAAAGATAAAATATATTTAAAGATTTCAAATATATATCCGAAATCTAAAGAGTAAATCCGAAATATCAAAAAAAGTGTTTCGTTCTTTTACTTGAGCTTAAAACAAAATAAAGAAACATGTCGAATGTGAAATATATTATAATTCAAATGTATAAAAATGTGTAGTTCAATTGAAAAACCGATGGAAATAGAAATTTTTTATTTATGGGATGAGAGTTTTTTTTTTTTTTGAAAATGTTTTCTCCTAATAAGAAAATTTTCAAAATCTGATGTTTTCGAAATAAAAAGTAGCATATTCCACATTTGATTGTCATTTTGACAAATGGATAAAAATTGATGGTAATTTTTATGGTTATCCTTTTTTGTGTAATTAAATATGCAAGCCTGATGATTACATAATGTATTTAGAAATTCATTCCGAAATATATTTTTTGATAGATAACTAACCACATCTATTTTTTACATGTTATACAAATAAGGATTTAAACCCAAATCTTTCCTACCTACATGAAAACTCTAGAGAACAATATTCGTATATACAACAAAATCAAATTCATGTATGTAATATACATTTATTAAAAACCTTTTATAAACTTACAATAATATAAAATATAAAAATTAAAAATTAAAAATTAAAAAAAAAAAAAAAAAAAAAAAAAAAAAAAAACTAATTTCTAATACTTTAAGTAATATGCGTCACATATTAACAAGTATATGAAAAAAAATATTAACATAATGTTGAATATTTTTGGCTGCAAGATGTTATTAAACAAGCTACTGACAATGTGGATAAGAGACATTAACGTTCCTTCTATGATTTGTTTAGTTTATGATCGTCTGATTGTTACAATGAGTTTATTTCTCTTTTTTTTCTTATATAATTGTTACTTCTTTACCATGTTTGTTGGGAAATGGTGGAGGCCAGATATCCTGTTCTTTCATTTATCTGTTGATTTGATTGTGTTGATCTTTTCCGAATGGCTCATGTTTCATCAAACAAAAACCTAGGAAAGCTAATTTGTTTGGCAAAATTATGTCAGAGTCTTTTCCCAGGCTGCTTATAGAGATAGATCCTTAAAACTTGATTGGGTTGGGTGACTTCGTGGTATAATTATTTAATTTCGAAGATGTAACTTTATTTTGTCCAACTTGTTGCTAGCTTCTACTAAAAAAAAATCCTTTCAAAAAAGAATTGCAAAAAGTTAATAGTGATATATGATCATCCTTTTGCATCTAAAACAAAAAATTTACCATTTGAGTTACATCCATCACTAGTTTAAGTTTACCTAACAATTGTTCATCAATTAAAAGAAGGGATGTCTTAGAAAAAATATTACCGAACAACTATTATAATAAAAAACGAAAAACGGTACATGTTAACAAAATCCACTTATAAATATCATTCGTAAGTTTTCCCACTATGCTACAAATTTTTTGGTGTAATTAACAAAACGTTAATTATATTTATGATTACTAATAATTATGGAGTATAAAATAAACATCATGGAGAAAATAAATTATACAATCCCCCAATGACCACGTGTTTAGCATTGTTGATTCCAAAATTATATATTTATAGAAACAACTAAGAGTTTGAGTTCAGTATAAAAGTTTTAATTTCAATATGAATTGTCATATTTGTAGGCTATGTACGCTCATGTCAACTATATAAAAGTTGGTTGTGCACGTGATTCATACAAGTATTAGAGTTTTTGTTCCATTATGGATTTGGTTTCTTTTATGTTGTAAGCTTTTGTGCTAGATACATAGAAAATCCTTGTGCATCTTATTTATACCACACACGAATGTTCTTGAAGCAGTGGTGAGCACTGAGTAAGACTGTGCGAGCCAGCTCTGGAGACAACACTTGTGTGGAAGGAAACATACACCTTCAATATTAGCCGCAAGACAGTTTGATTGGAACGTTTAGGTACGACGTCTACTGTATTATCGGCCCCCCTCTACTTATTTGTAAATTATGTACGTTGTATATAAATTTGATCTAAAAATACAAATTTAATAATTTTCATTTTCGAAAAGGGACTTATGGATTTTGTCTACGTGTATGCCTCCAACGTGATGTTTACTTCTAAACAAATAGTTATCGAACACAAAAATTCAATCCGTTTCATGAGATGAACCCAACAAAAAAACCAACTTTATTTGAAGTAGACGTAAACGAGAAGTTGTGACCTCAAGTCAATGGTAGATTAAGATCACATTTGTTATTCTGACCACATATCAATTTCTAAATTTCCACAAATCTTATAATTTCAAATAATTTATTTGTATAAAAAAATAAGTTTGTTGAAAATGATGTTAAACTAGGAATTTAAAGCACCTTGGCTTTACACATACACATACACAAAGATGTGGTCCTTAGTTTCATAAAGCCTAAAACTCTACAGAAATCACTATACTTCACAATTCACATAACCAAAAACTTTCCAATTTGGAAGTTTGAATTATTTTATCTATAGAGTTGTTTTTTTAAAAAGCAAATCCACTTGAAATTCTATCTCACCATCTATACCATTTCTTTTTCTTTTTATAAAGATCGAGAATGTGTTTCCTAAAGAAAGATAATGTACTATAAACCCTAAACCCTAAAACATTTAGTAGTTTTAAAACAGTTTTTTAAGATCTAGTAGAGCACATGTTTTTTATTATTAATAATCTTAATATGTTATACAAATGTGGGTTTTAACTTTTAAGATCCATTGTCATCGGTTTTGACCCTTCTGTAAAAGAGGACATAAGCAGCATTTGACTTGACATCATCTTCATTAATGGCTGATATATGGCTATCATCGAAGTTATACCACCGGTTTTCATCAATAAGCTTCACAACATTAATGAAAAAACATGTGATTAAGTAATTAGTTGAAATTTATACAAAAAAAAAAAAGAAAAAGAAATTACAAGATCATGAACTGACCTTAATATATGCAGTATAGTGACCACTTCCCATGCCACCATAGTGATTTGTCAACGCATAGAGTTCATACACTTGACGACTTGAGTTGTTTTTATTAGCAACGTATTTTGTCAAGTCAAAATCATGAATTGGAAAGTTAACAAATGTCTCCAGCTTATGCTTCATGGATCTGCTATACGAAAACCTTTTCAAATGGATCACAAGAACTTCCGGAAGCCTCCATAGATCCAACTTCTTACTCGCTTGCCTTCTCTCTTTGCATTGTGGACAATACCTTCATTCACCAAACCAAAATGAAAATGAAAAAACCCCAAGGCCATTCATTCATTCATTATTCAAGGACAAAAGAGTAATTTCTTACCACATGTCTTCAGGTACCAAAGGCTCCTCGCGTAAGAAAGCTTCCAAGCATGTGTACAAAGAGAGAGGCTCGGTTCGTGTTTTCTTTGTGGGCCCGTATTTATAAACTTCGGGTAATTTTTCCAAGTAATGTGTTTGGTATTTTTTCAAAAGCTTTGGGGACCAATCGATGAAGAGGAGTATCGACATTGATGATGAGGGGAATCTCACGGTTCTTTCTTCCCCAACGGAAAGATCGATGCACGCGTTGTTTCCGTCGACTAATTTTAACGGAAGTTTTCGTGATTCCGATTCCGTCTTGGAATCGGAATCGTCATCGGGTTCGGAATTAGAGACCGGTTCTGTTCTTAGCATGGGAGAGAGCATTGTGTGGACGATTAATTGTATATCGCCTCTTGTGATTGTTGCATCACATGAAATGGGAAAAACAAGTGGGGTCCCGTATGCCTTCCATCCCGTTGTGCCCCGTGCATTTCCCGTTTCCCTTAAATAGATTATAAAAAAAAACATAATTAGAAAACAAAAAAAAAAAAAAAAGGTAAATTGCTTTGTATTTTAATGACATGACATACAGCTCTTGGCGACGATGTATCAACTGGAGAAATTTAGTATTTTTCATGGACTTGGGGATCTTATAAGCACTGAGATGATCATCGTCTTTTATGGAGGATAA